ATGCGGAAATGAGGATTGATTGAAGAAGCAGCAGAAGCAGCAACAGTGGATTTGGCCTGCCCAATGTTCCAATCTCGAAAGAGGAACTGTCTGCTAAGGTTACTCTTCTCAATCACATCGTCATCGGTGACCATTAGCTTTCCTTGGTTTCCACAAGAAACTCCCATCAGTGCTAAATTCTTTAGAAACTCGCAGCCCAGTGCACCAGATCCAACCAAAAACACTTTAGCATCTTCTAGTCTTCTCTGAAGTTTAGACCCAAGGACTGAAATCTGGGCATCATAACGGCTATTTAATGGTCTGAAGTCGCTGGGATCTAATGGCTCTACAGGAAGTGATTCCACCGAGTCAAAGTAGAAAAACTTTACAAACATGAAAAGAAAAGAAACAAAGAGTCAGTTTACCCCAATATAGCAGTAAAATTTATCAAACTAGCAGCCACAGGATTCAAATTTGGAAAAGACAATAATATGAATAATTTATTAAGATGAGGAAGCTTATGAATGTTGGGAAACATGATATTAACCTGGAAAAGGGGATGAAACTTCCCTGAGCACGCCTTAACAACCTCCTGCCCAACAAAGCCACCAAACATGGCTGCCATAGGATTCAGTACAGCCCGGGCACCAAAAGCAAAATGTTTCAAAAGTTTGGGATTTATATCATCCAGTTTTGCATCTCCCAAGCTATCATTCAGGTTACTGGTAATAGATATCAACCTCTGAGCATCATCTTCAGAACCAGCCACAGGGAAGCGTCCCAATTCAGAGACAAACTTATCCAGTGACTGGAATGCCAAATGCAAGAGAGGTGGGCGGTCAAACTTAGAGAAATCACAAAGAAGAAAATCTCCAGGATCTTTAATTGCTTCCCTCAGCGGCTTGAAGTTCAAAACCTTGGGCTGTTTTACCTGAGTTACAACACCACCTTTCTCATGTCTACTGAAACTTGTGGTATCTTCGTCAAGGATGAAAGAGTACGGTCGTGCAGTTTTTATCTTTCTCGGCTTTCCATCGTTGAGTTCTGTCATTCCCTGTACTTCTGAGAACACAACAAGATCCCCATCCTGAAACTCAAGCCTTTCATCATCCACACACGACACAAGAGCAGGGTTGTCATTACTGATAGATGCAATAATGCCCGTATGAGGTTCCTCTCCATCAACATCGAAGACTGTAAACTCTGGTCCAAAATCACAAAAACAATTACCAAAAAGGCCCCTAACTTCAGTCTTGATGAAAGCAATAGGAGGTTGATGATTGTGACAGTATTCATTGAACTCGATTGCATTCTCTAAGCTGATGTCAGTAAAAATCACAGCCTGCATTCATCATCATTATACATAATTAGTACATAATTGTAACATCCCTAGCAAACACGCAATCTAAAATCCTTAAATACGGGAGATATGAGTCAGAAGAGCTCCAAAATTAGATTAGCGTTAACTCCACAATCTAGGGTGAATACAACTTGGCAAGTGATGCTACTCGGAGGCCATTTAGATCCATAAATTCATTACTAAATTCAGAGTGATTGGAAATCCGGTAACCTAGTACAGCAACAAGTCAACAACTATAATGTGATTCACGGGCAAGGAAACAAGGTCTCATCAACAACCTAAGCACATCTCAACGATTTTGTTTTGATCAAATGATCATTGGGAAGGGAGATATAGATATTGCTAGAGTTAGCTAATTAAGATAATAAACAGTTCCAGGTTTTCACTCAACAACAATTCTTTGACAGAGAGGCATTTGTAATTGGCTTTAGAGCAAGCGAGCACAGAAAGAAGTGTGTAGCTCTGCCATCTGAAGTGAAGGAAGGATAAGCCATCAGCAGATAATATAGAAGTGCACCCTTCAACCCAAGTCCATGAGGTGTGATAGGGCAGTACTTGAACAAAATTTTTATTCATATTTCAGCAGCTGTTATATATATAAAACATCTCCATTTATCATTTCTGTTTATATATTACATCCCTCGCTCAATCAAGACCTAGAATGGGAGCAAAATTAGAACAATGGCAAGACCATGTTAACAACTCTAATTTCTTGAAATCTCTTCTCAAGACGTTTATCATTAACAAGGACACTTGAGAATTCAAATAAGTTAATACGTGCCTGCTACATCAAGGAGGGAACTAATCTCATGATCAATTGTTTAGATAACACTAAGACAGATGTTAGTTCTCATTGAAGAATAATTTAACCATACTTCTGTATAGATTTTTACATACTTTTCAGATAAAAGTCGCTCACAAAAGTTACAATGATCACATGTAACAAAAAATAAAAACAAAAAAACTTTACCTGGAATTCAGAAAGTTGTTCTTTCATCAATTCTGTAGTCAGAGTCGAGATAACCACAGCATTGTTGAGCTCTTGTAGTTTCTGAATAGAGGCAAGTGCCCTGTTCTTACCAACATCATTCTCCGAGAAAATAAAGTTGCTAGACAAATCCCATAACTCCACTTTTCCTTCGTCGTGCAACATGACAGACTTCACGCCAGCAAGAATAAGGTTCTTAGCTGTAATGTTATGCAAAAGTCAGATAGCATACAAGTTAATTCAAATATTTCCTCACTCAAATTCTTCAATAATTTCATTTTCATACAACAAGCATTTTCAGATTAGAAAATTGGCCAAAAAGAATTCATCTATCTGTGGAACTGCAAGCTTAAAATAAATACCAAAACAAAACAGGTGTTTGAGCAAAAACAAATTTACTCACAAGAAAAAATCTTACCATATAGGTTTTATCATCTAAATCTGCCAAACATAAATTTCAACTAAAATTAATTGAACACCAGCAATAGATATGAAATCCATATATAACCCCACAAAAATAAAGAAATCAAAATAAACAGCAACTCGGATCCAGATGATCTTTCTTATTTTGAATGAGTTAGCCTAATCCAGATTTCCAAATCCAATCTCGAATTATACAGATAAACAAAATAATTAAATTCAATAACATAAGCATGCTAGTACGTACTGAGAAATGGAAGAATCCATACCGATCTCAACACCGAGGCCTTGCATTCCTGATACCAGAACATTTGACGCAAAAAGCCGCCGCATGGTCTCTCGTCCATACACAGCAAGCTGCCGGCTATGTAGATCTTCATCGATATCTTGCGATTTTCCAACATCAAAAGCCATTTCGGTAATTGAACGCTCCTCGCGACTGCCGCTGTTGTTAATGTTACTGTTCCCTAAACTAACACTACTTGTTCCGTCAATATTGGTCTCTTGACTCCCACTGCCACTTCCTTCACCAACGTTCTTACTATCGGCAGAGAAACAGAGACAACTCTTCTTCAGAACGCTTTCCGATTCGCCTTCTAGTGGTCTCTTACTAGGAAGCATATAGTACAACAAACTGCATAACGCCCGCCGAATCCCGAAGAAAATCAACAAAATCAGTAAAAAATGTATAAAAAATTCCAAAAACGAAAGAACGAAACAATTATTTAAATCTTCTAACAAATTAAAAGGCATCGGTTTCAGTATCACCATAACAACAATTATAACACTAATAAACAGTAAAACGTGATTGGAATTACTTCGATTAAATGATGGAACATGCAAGATGTGAATCAAAGGATAATTCGACCGATTAGCTCAGATGAAGCAAAGATTCGAATCTCCGAGAAATTTATAGAGAGAATTTGAAAGGGTGAGCAGGTTGGTTATTTGGTGATATTGATAACACTATTAGAGTAGTAAAAATGAAATTTGATTTGAAGAAATGAAATATTTATAGTCAAATTGAGGCTGCGTTTTAGAAATTTCCATATTTCAGGACCGACCTTGTGGTTTGAAAATAAAAAATCCCATTTGTAGAATTCTCATGAAATTATTGGCTTGGTAAATGAAAGTCAAATTAGAGTAATAGCTGACTTTGACTCTATCGAATGACCCATCCAAGATTCGTCTTGACCAGTCAACTCGCACAATTCGGTTCATACTACATCAATGAAAATTGTACATACTACACAAAAGAAACGTCAAACAACCTAATGTAAATTTGTAAAGTTATGCTCCAAACCAGAAAACTATTATTACTGGTGTTTTAAAAGGTGCAATGCGTGACGATACGTGAAGTCCAAGCTATGCGCTAAGCGAGACATATGCGTAAAAAAAGTGTTTTTATTTTAATATTATTTTAATTTTTAATCAATCAAAAAATCATTTAATAATTAAAAATAATGCATATCAAACATCCAAAATAGATTTATAGAAACTTTGTATATTTTTTCAAAAGTTTCAACAAAAAGAAAAGTTTCAACCCATTTGATGCACATTAAAATGAGAGAATGCAATTTTTTGAAATGATGTGATGGAGAATATGTGGTTGAAAAAGAAGGAAAAGTTATTAATGTAATGGAAGATATTATTTTATTGAATAATATGTGGTTGAAAATTAGTAGAAGAATGAGAATGAAAAAAATAATATGGCTCAAACAGGGGGCTAAATCAACTTTTAAGTTTCAACTTAAAAGAATTGTAAAAAAATTTTAAAAAATAATCGTGCCTAGTCACGCATGGTGGTCGACGATTGCCACTGATCACTAAATAAGGCGCCAAGCCCTTGACTTGACGTTTCCGCTACACATCACGCATAGGCGGCACCTTTGTGATATTTAGGCGCGCCTTTTAGAATACTGATTAAAACTGGATTGCAGCGTCCTCGTTTTCAAGGGTTTAGGGCCCGTTTGCAATCGCTTTTATTTCTACTTTTACTTTCTGTAGAAAAATTTTTGGAGGAAGTTTCCTTAATTTTTATTTGAAAATTAATTTTTAAAAACACTTCTAATTTTAGAAGTGTTTTTAGAGAAAGACACATTAAATCAGTTTTCTCTAAAAGTTTTTTTACTCCCAAAATCACTTTCATAAAATTAGTCAAACTGATTCAAAAGTAACTTTTGAGTCTTAAAAGTTTCTTCTGACTTTTCAAAAGTCGTGTTAAAAGGACCCTTAATGAGCTTTGATTCGATAAGTTACATGTCCGGAGGCAATGAACAAGCGCAGAGTTCTAGATGTTCACGCCCGGAGGCAATTATTATGTGTGAGCTTAGAGCATAACAAATTAATTATGAATAAAGTCATGTCTTGTTATGAAGAATTGGCATTTAATTTGGTTAGTTCAACTTTCCTGATATGCTTCACAAGAAACTGGTAGCATCGGAAATTCAAATCTTGAATTGGAGCTGTGTGAATCGAGGACTAATACCTAGATTTGTGAACGACTTTGTAAATAATAATTCGATTTTACCGTTTAATCGCATGTTTAATTAGAGTAATTAATCTGTCTCTATGGTCATGTGAGATGTTATAAATTGTACAATTGATTGGTCGCGTGTCACGATTCACTAATTGTAAGGTGATCAACATTCATCGTTCGCAATCGACATATAAAGTTAATCTTATCATGATAAGATTGTATTTTTCATATTAGGACTTGTCTGAATCTAGTAATAAGGACTCTAATGTGTTTGGAAAATATTGAAAGGGGCCACGTAAATGTTTTGTTCGCGACCACTCCGAATAAGACTACTGTTTCGCGGGTTTTCGCTCGCTAACAATTAAAAAGGGATCAGACGATTGTGTAAGGGACAAACCTCTTGAAACAAAGTCCCAAAAATGAGTGTTTATTGAATATGGAGATTACAGTTTGGACAAAAAACAAAATGCCTCAAAGGAGCGCAAGCACACAAGTACAAGGGAATTGAAGTAATTAAAAGTTAATTTAAGAAAAGTAAATTACATGTTCTCTGTTTTGAGAGTAAATTTTGTCGGGGCTATCTTCGTTATCTTCTTCTTTCTTCCGTCAATATTGGTCTCTTGACTCCGACTGCCACTTCCTTCACCAACGTTCTTACTATCGGCAGAGAAACAGAGACAACTCTTCTTCAGAACGCTTTCCGATTCGCCTTCTAGTGGTCCCTTACTAGGAAGCATATAGTACAACAAACTGCATAACGCCCGCCGAATCCCGAAGAAAATCAACAAAATCAGTAAAACATGTATAAAAAATTCCAAAAACGAAAGAACGAAACAATTATTTAAATCTTCTAACAAATTAAAAGACATCGGTTTCAGTATCACCATAACAACAATTATAACACTAATAAACAGTAAAACGTGGTTGAATTACTTCGATTAAATGATTGAACATGCAAGATGTGAAGCATGGGATCATTCGACCGGTTAGCTCAGATGAAGCAAAGAATCGAATCTCTGAGAAATTTATAGAGAGAATTTGAGAGGGTGAGCAGGTTGGTTATTTGGTGATATTGATAACATTATTAGAGTAGTAAAAATGAAATTTGATTTGAAGAAATGAAATATTTATAGTCAAATTGAGGCCGCGTTTTAGAAATTTCCATATTTCAGGACCTTATGGTTTGAAAATTAAAAAAATCCCATTTGTAGAATTCTCGTGAAATTATTGGCTTGGTAAATAAAAGTCAAATTAGAGTAATAGCTGACTTTGACTCTATCGAATGGCCCATCCAAGATTCGTCTTGACCAGTCAACTCGCAAAATTCGGTTCATACTAAGCATCACAAAATTGGATACATCAATGAAAATTGTACATACTACACAAAACGAAACGTCAAACAACCTAACGTAAATTTTTAAAGTTGTGCTCCAAATCAGAAAAACTATTATAATCAGTGTTCTAAAAGACGTAATGTGTAACAATACGTGCAGCCCAAACTATTGGCTGGGCGAGATATATACGTACAAAATAGTAAAAAGACGTTTTCTTATTTTAATATTTGATCAATCAAAAAATCATTTAATAATTAAAAATAATGCATATCAAACATCCAAAACAGATTTATAGAAACTTTATATATTTTTTCAAACGTTTCAACAAAAAGATAAGTTTCAAAGGTAAATCAACTTTTAAGTTTCAACTTGAAAGAATTGTAAAAAAAATTGAAAAAATAATCGCGCCTTGTCACGCATGGCAGTCGACGATTGCCACTGACCGCTAAATAAGGCGTCAAGTCACTTGACTTGACGTTTCCGCTGCACATCACGCATAGGCGGCACCTTGGTGATGTTTATGCGCGCCTTTTAGAATAGTGATTAAAACCGGATTGCAGCGTCCTCGTTTTCAAGGGTCTAAGGCCCGTTTGTAATCGCTTTTATTTCTACTTTTACTTTCTGTAGAAAAACTTTTCGAGGAAGCTTCCTTTATTTTTATTTGAAAGTTAATTTTTAAAAATACTTCTAATTCTAGAAGTGCTTTTAGAGAAAGACACATTGAATCAGTTTTCTCTAAAAAATTTTCTTACTTCCAAAATCACTTTTATAAAATTAGTCAAACTGATTCAAAAGTAACTTTTGAGTCCCAAAAGCTTCTTTTGACTTTTTAAGAGTCATGTTAAACAGACCCTTGATGAGCTTTGATTCAATAAGTTACATGTCCGGAGGCAATGAACAAGCGTGAAGTTATAGATGTTCACGCCCGGAGGCAATTATTATGTGTGAGCTTAGAGCATAACAAATTAATTATGAATAAAGTCATGTCTTGTTATGAAGAATTGACATTTAATTTGGTTAGTTCAACTTTCCTGATATGCTTCACAAGAAACTGGTAGCATCGGAAATTCAAATCTTGAATTGGAGCAGTGTGAATCGAGGACTAATACCTAGATTTGTGAACGACGTTGTAAATAATAATTCGATTTTACCGTTTAATCGCATGTTTAATTAGAGTAATTAATATGTCTCTATGGTCATGTGAGATGTTATAAATTGTACAATTGATTGGTCGTGTGTCATGATTCACAAATTGTAAGGTGATCCGATATATAAAGTTAGACATCTTATCATGATAAGATTGTATTTTTCATATTAGGACTTGTATGAATCTAGTAGTAAGGACACTAATGTGTTTGGAAAGTATTGGAAGGGGCCACGTAAATGTTTTGTTCGCGACCACTCCGAATAAGACTACTCAATTATCGAATGAGTTACTTTAATAGTATATGTACTGTAATCTTAATTGCTAATTCATATTCTTTGAGGTGTTAATGGGTGAGATCTTGTTTGGAAGATCAATACCTTTTTGCCTCATGAATAGAGGCAAAATGATTTTGAAACATACAATTGCAAGATGGAATTTTTCCATCACTTAGGGAGACAATTGCTACTCTAACGAATTTCCTTGTAAAAAAAAAAAAAATTGAACTCTGCAGAAGTTTGGAATTCATGCTTTCATTGAAACATAGAGAATGAGTCTTTTTAGTCCATCCTTGGTTGTTTTTCTTTTTTTTTTCGTGGTGGAATTTGGCCTAATACTTACAGTTTTGAGTTGTACAAAAAAAAAAAAAACAATTCATTGTGGA